ATGCGGAAATGGTATGTTTGAAAGAAAAATCTATTCTGTCAAAATTAGTTATTTTTATTTTTCAGCGCAGATGCCAGCGAAAATTTCTCGCAACTGGCGCCAGTTCTGTGTAATACCGCTCTGAATCTGCTACGATTCATCGGTTTGTTTTAGTTTTGCAGTGTTGCCATACATTGTCTATTTCGAACTGCTGCTTTTTTCGAAACCTTTTTTCCGTACGAGTCGCCGTAGGCTCCTCTGTCCCATCCTTTACCCTCTTCCTGCCCCATTCTAACGGCTACCTGTACAAGGAGCCGATCAGTTTTTATTTTTAGGAACGGTTGCTTGCAGGAAAATACATTCGAATGACATATATGTTGCAGTCAGTTGCCGATCAAGCTGTTGGCAACATATTGGAACTGTGCAACTTCTTTTTCTTCACTGTATGCTTTTTATTGAATTTAAGCAAAAGCAAACTTTTAGCTCATTTTTCCCCGTATTTGCCAGTCTGTTTACGTATACAACTTAGGGATGAAACAGACTGTTTCTTAATTATCAAGCATTTTACACATGTTGCATTTAAAACCCCAACTTTCTGGTATCTTACAAATTGACCCGCAGCAGTTATTTTTTTTTTTTTTCTTCATTCATCACTCGCTCACGTTTTTTTCTGCCTCCCCTCGTAATTTTCTTACGCTATAGTTCTCCTCCGTTTCCCTTATTTCAGCCTCCCAATAATTTAGTTTCTTCTCAATTCACTCATCTCGTTATTGCAGCTGGGATTTTGTATTGTCTTGCTTTATTCTTTATTGTAGGAAGAGGGGGGGGGAGGGCGGAGCGAAAGGACTGCGAAGAATTTTGACACAGTTGTATATTACAAGCTGCACGATGAACGGCCACTTTTTTCATATTTTTTCAGATTCACACATTCTTCACTGCAGATGCCGAACGTGTTGCTGGTGTATTTTTCTCGCCCCATTTGAAAAGTGTTCTGGATAGTCTCGAAAACAAATTGTTCAGGGAAGATTCGTCTTCGGAAGGTAGAGTGGTATGTGTTTCATCTGTTTTTCACCGGTTTTTCTGGAAAGCAATGAAAATTATGGCTTTTCAAAAATGTGTGTTTCTAAATGAACATTGCTCTAAGGCCCGGATTTTGATTTGAAAATTCTCCAGTTCAAATCGGGCCGGCTATTGTTCATGAGAACATTACAAAGACTTTCAAGGCGATCTTGCTGGCTTTTCGCATAGCTTCCGCAATATTCCGAAAATCGGTGCGATGATTTGGTGGTAGTAATAGTATTTCGCTGAGATGCTCTCCTACGCAAGGTGCAGCTAATATCAGGTCACACAGTCTTCGACGCACTTGTGCTGGACACTTCAGTAGGTCCTTTAGGGCATCGCTTGAACACTATCCTTAAAGATTATACGGTTTGAATTCTGGCCATTTTTCCAGGAATTTAATCCATGTACATTATCCGGGGCGGTGCAGCTGGATTCAGAGCCAGATTATGCCTTACCGGAACGTATTGTTGGTGCGGAATCGATGTAAGCGCGCAGTATTTACTTGAAACAATGTAAAAAAGTTGTCGAATCCTTTTGGATTTGCCGAAAACTGTAAAAAAATTGTCGAATCAAAGATATTGTGCTGTTAAATAGATTTTAATTTGGTGAGCTTCCAGAAATTTTATTTCTAAGCAACTGGATCTCATTCGACCAGTTTTTGAATCGTTGATCAGCGAGAAGGCCTTTGCCGAAGTCGAGAAGTATTATACAGAGGTATATTTTTATTCGCTTAAGTGCAGCCCTCTTCTGTCGATACTTACACAGGTATCATCCTCTATAATGGGATTTTTAAGGTACAATACCACTTTTTACATGCGTTTTTTTCCGCACTACTGTTATTACGCAAGAGGGCTTTTTTTTGCATGTTTTTTCCTCTTGCTGTATCCATCGGGATATACTTTTTAAATTCATAACTATGAAGGCAAAAAAAAACTTCTGAAATAAAAGAGTTACTAGGATTCTCTGGAAAAATTATCAAATCGTGGTCTGAATTTTCATTTGGATGATGTAAGTGGCAATTTTTTCATCAAAAGATGGCCTCGCGGTTTTCGCATATACACTTCCATTTTAAGTTAGTGGGCCATTCCGGCATCGTCTTCCTGTTCCTTCAAAAGTTCCACACTTAGAATTCTGAGGGTCAAAACTTTCAGTTAGGAATGAAGGGGATAATGAGCAGGCTTTTCCTGAATTCAGTAATGTTCCAAAAAATTACGGAATTGTTCCGGAAAATTTCAGGTTCTTTCTGTGGTACCGCAAATAAGGGAGTGTATTTATGGTTCAGTTGCTAGCCGCTTG